ACGCGTGAAAAGATGATTTTGCCCCTAGTGTGATTTTTACGTTGTGTGGTTGTTTTGAGTTGGTGTGGCTGGTTGTGGACCACACACACTCTCTCCCATATTTTCCCTCACCCTTTCCCCCTATCCCTGCACCTGTCCCGTGCCATTTCCCTTCCCATTTTCATATCTAGGTGTACGGACACACCCCAAAACCCTTGTAATCTTCACAGATCGAAGAAACAAAGTACATATCCATGCTCGTGAGGTCCGTAGGAGTTCAACCATACCTATTTCAAGTAAGGATACCTTCATTTTCACGTCGAACTCGGGATACCCGATTTTTGGCACTGTTCATGCACACGTAAATTCTTATGTTTTTGGGAATTTCAAGCTTGTAGGAAGCTTGGTGAGGTCCTTAGGAGGCTCGGGGTGGTTCGTTTGAAGGTTTTGGACGTCAGGATCACGAGTTTCGAGGTTGGCCGGAGTTGGGGTATTTTCCCGGCGAGATTTCGTGGATTTTAGCACTTGAAAGTGGTATGATTTTGTTCCTCTCGTTGTAAGCTTCAATTTGGTACCAATTTTGTGAAATTTGGTTGAAAAACGAAGAAGATATCACGATTTGAAATTTTCCTGATTTTCCGGCGCTGGCGACGGCGCCGGAGCCTCGCCGGAGAAGACGACGGAATATTCCGTCAGTTTGGACGGAATATTCCTAACGCCATTGACGGATTCCGTTAAAGTTAACAGAATATTCCTGACGGCGTTAACTGACGCCGTCAGCATGCCTGCGCGTGGCCGGCGCGTTCGGCGGTGAAAATTTTTTCTAAAAATATGAGGATGTTCTTGAGGTTGAGTAGATCACGTTGGTGTATTCATACACCCCATTTGAGCATTGTATGAGAAGTTATTTCTTAAGGTTGGTTATGTGCTTTAAAATTAACGTTTTTATAGTTGTTTCGCATATAGGTGATACCTATCCCGAGGACGAGCGTGGTCACTCGAGGCAAAGGGGTTACGACCCTTCCACATATCAGTGAGTGGGCTTTTGGTTTTCCGTATATACCTATATACTTATGTTTTTCCCAGAAATTGATTTGAAACATTATACGTTTATATGCCATGCCTATAGTTTGCCGTTTGTTTATGCATTGTTAGTTGCATGTATATATATATATATATATGTATGTTTGGTGCTGCGAACGCACAGGTAAGTGCCAGGTGAGTTGTGATTTATGTTTACATTCAGTAGTGATTTGAGATACATAGAGAGCTCATAACCTGCACCCCTGGTGTTAGTGCTCCCGCCCAGAGTTGGTCACAGTTCTTCACGTGATGTTCACCTCCCACACCACACGCTTAGCTTGGATCCAAGTTAGGTGCACAGTCCTGTCGTACAGACCACTTTAGGTGGTTCGGACTTGTAGGTGACCTGCGATTATTCGCCCAGCCTTCACGTGATCGTAGCATTTGAGCGTATATATATATTACACCTAGTCCTGTCGTACATACCACTTTAGGTGGTTCCGACTCATGTGCAGGTCTAGTTAGTGAGACGGAGATTTGAGCTCTAGATTCAGCCGTACAGGTCACATTAGGTGACTCCGGCTGACAGATTATATGATATTGATGCGATATTACCTGAGCACTTGCATTTTACTTTGAGGTTTTGGCATAGCATATTCCTGAGCATGACTTATATATATATATATATATGCTATTTTCTGGGAAGTATACAGGTTTTACGGCGATGGGTTAGAACTTATTTATTAAATGGTTTTCGAAAAGCTTTGTTTTTGCCCACTCATGCTTTTGTTTTGCGCCCCTCCAGGTTCTAGTTGGCTAGCACGTTTGGTGGATTCCCTGACGATTTTCCCGGCATATCTGACAGACCACCACCAGTGTAGGACCACCTTCGGATGTGCTTTTGTTGTGTCGTTTCTTCTGGACTGCATTAGGCTTTCTTGCTCTGAACCTAGCGTTCACACTTACGCTTGCACTTGTTCATTATTACCTTGTGTAAAGCTAGTTTTTATTTATTCGCACTATTTATATTATTATTTTATTAGCTTCCGTACTGTGCACATGGTTACGTCACTTCCACGTGACGGCCAGTATGCCTTGATCTCGATCGGGGTGTGTCATTTTCCCCTCTTTTATTTGTACCCATAATTTATTACAATGTACCCATGTTTCTTTAAAAATTATCACTTGTTATATGTAAAATGTACTCATTTTTTTAATTTAAAATCTTTTTTTTTTTCAATCTAAAATGTATCCATTGTTGTTTATATAAAATGTACCTATTTTGTTTTATATAAAACTTACCCATTTTTTGTATAAAATGTACCCACATTTTTAAAATTTATAATTACGTGCACCATTGTACTCACATTTTTTAAACATTTTTATGAGTTACATATTATAACATTTCACTTTTGAAACAATTTTGAAATTGTACCCCATAGCTAATTATATATGGTGAATGTACGGGTTTCTATTGACATGTGACAACTATTTTATCATTCATAACAATGTTTTCTTTTGGTCAAATTCATAACAATTTTGGATACATTCTTTTGGCACTTTTTTTTAACATTGTTTCCAATTGATTGATACATACATACATACATACATACATACATACATATATATATATATATGCGTACATGTACTTCACATCTATTAATATACATTTTCAGAAGGAATTATATTGTTATATTGATTTTTTATTCAATCAGAATTTTGAAAATATTTCCATATTTTTTGTTGGCCAAAAATTGAAAACTACAAAGGTTTTAATCAATGAGTATTACTGATCAGGGACCACATCCAAAGTCTCCCTTTATTTGAGGATACTACTTCTATGTAATATTGGTGCATGACGCTCTTTCATCCCTTCAATCGGGTTCAAATCCTTGGCAAGATCTTTATCGATGCCCATTTTATTGCACCCTATCCTCTATTTTGTACATATTCGCTCAAACATATCAATTAATTTTTCTCAATAAAAAAAAAAATTTGGAATTTTACTTTCACACATTCTTTTTAGCCTCTTACACACCCTTATTAAATCATGAGTATTGATTGGATTTGATTTTTTTAATCCGATAACTATAAATAGGGAAGAGTATGAAAAGCTAAAAATATGTGTGAAAATTACTTTCCTAAAATTTATACCCCGTTGGTACCACCACCAACACAACCCCATCGCGTTGTTCGAAGGAAGGGGCCTATAAAAAGGCCTTTTTCCCGTGATAAAAACAAAACCAGCCAAACAACCCCCTCTTTGATTCTTAGTTTCCGCCACTTCTCTCTTTCTGTTGCATTTCACAAAAACAAAAGCACACTTCTCTCTCTCTCTCTCTCTCTCCACCATCTCTGCCTCAGCTCTCCGTCTCTTCAAATGGTATGTGAACACCTTTCTCTCTCTCTCTCTCTCTCTCTCTCTCTCTCTTACAACGGTTTTTTTGTGTGTTTGAATGATTGCTTAATTAATTGGTTTAGTATTAATTTCATATATCTGTGTACACAACTCAGAAAAATCAGAGATGAAATCAAACGCAGCAATGGTTTTGTATCATTTGCTTGTATTGGTTTCGAAACTTGATGGTCAAATCAAACGCAGCAAACACTTTATCAAAATATGAGCTGTTTTCCGGCTCATGAGACATTGAAACGGCTGTTTTCAGAATGTTACCGTTGCGTTTTTTTATTGGACTCAGACTCAGACCTTATTATGTATTAAATATATATATTGGTTTTTCGCGCAAAGGAAATGAAAATAGCTTTGTGAATTGTGATGGTGGCATCTTTTTCGTTCCTTATTATTATTTTTTTATGTTGTATAATGCCACTTGTTTAACATTAAGATAGCTTTTGTATCTTGTAACATGCCCACTGTTTCTAGTAGACCTTGTCCTACGTTTTTGTTTAATCCCTTAATTTCCGATTTTAAACCTTGTCTTTTATTCTACTTCGTACTACGATTAGTGATATTCCTCTTTATTTATAAGTGAGAGATCTTAGGTTCGATTCTCGCCAAAGGCGAATTTGAACCACATTATTGTAGTTGATTCATTGTGCGGCTTAGCACACTCTCTCACCTCCTTAAGTATATAATATCGTTTGTTCAAATAAAAAACTTATCCTTCATATTTGTTTTGTTATCGTTTGAAGTAAGCTTCATTTCAATTCCCATTTTCAATTTGGTGTCCCTTGTTTTTTTGCTTTCGGTTTTATTTGCTTTTTTAAGTAAAACCAGCTTTCTTTAAAAGGTCCGTCAAATCCGATGAAGAAACTTTAAGGCAGTAGTTGTATGCGTAGGGAAACCTCCTCCATTTTTTTGCCCTTTTTTGAGTATCTAAATTGCCTTCATGAGCAAGCAACAAATAACCCTTACATATTTGTTGCTACTTTATCTTTTATCACAATTTTTGTTTTGCAACGGTCACACACGAAACATTACTCATTTTTCGTCCTCTTTTAGGATTTAACTTGACATTAATTCCCCGATTCAGCTACCAAAACAACATATGTCATGTTTGTGGACAATTCTTTCTGGATTTTTTAGGTGATTCGTCGGAGGATTAATAATTGGTCGTTAGAGACATGTACACGCATCAGTAATTGCTTCGTTTCAATAACATTCTATCATTAAAAAATTTGAAAAAATTCTAAAAATTCTTTCTTTTCTGTGTCCCATGTTCCATGGTTTGTGTCAATTTATGGGCCACATATAGCACTCTACTCTGTCGTTTTTCAAATGGCAACTTATGCAGCCAAATAATGTTTTCCTTAAGATGTTGGTATTGACAAATCTAATAATTAATTAATAATGGGAATGATTTGGTGTGGTGTTGATGAAGGAGGAAGAGAATACCGGAGTTATTCTTTTGACAAAGCCCTTGTCACTGGAAGGGGATTCCGATGGTGATTACAGAGCTCCTAATCTACTTCAACGCGTCCTAAGCCTGTTTAAAAACGTACGGCCAGGATCTGATCTCACACGCTTCCAGGCAAGTCTTTTGTTCTATTCATTTAGTATGCTTTTTAGTTAAAATGGTTTTTTTTGTTAAATTGGTATAACTCCTCATTTTGGTCTCTGATATTTAAAATCGATAGAAATGGTCCTGAGATTGTCCACCGTCAACAATTCTGGTCATTTTGTGAAAAGTCTCCATTAAATTGAGATTGTCCACAATTGGAAGTTTCTTCAACCCCTCCCCTTGAACTGATGTTTTCTTCAATTTAAAGAAGTGGTCTTGAGATTGTCCACCGTCAACAATTTTGATCCTTCTGTGAAAATTCTTCGTTAAATTGAGATTGTCCACCATGGGTAGTTTCTTCAACCCCTCCCTTGAACTGGTGTTTTCTTCAATTTAAAAAAGTGGTCCTGAGGTTGTCCACCGTTAACAATTTTGGTTATTCTGTAAAAAATCTCCGTTAAATTCAGATTGTCCACCATGAGTAGTTTCTTCAACCCCTCCCCTTGAACTGGTGTTTTCTTCAATTTAACGGAGATTTTTTAACACAATGACCAAAATGATTGACAATGGACAATCTCAACGACCATTTTTTTCAATTTTAATAAATGGGAAAATGTAGCATTTACTCAATAGTTTTACACTTGAAAGAAATAATTTAGGGGTCATTTGATAACTATTTTGTTTTTCGGTTTTTAATTTTTTTTAAAAAAAATGAAAACTAAAAGCACAAAAAAAAGCCAGAACGTAAATTCTAAACGCCAAATTTTGAAAACTCTACGGTCGTTTAATAATACTTTCCTTTTTAGTTTTCTTTTTTTTTTTAAATTGAAATCTTGTTGGGTAACTACTTTCAGTTTCAAAAAATTGAAAAGTAAAAAATAAAAATTGAAGGGTAAATTTTGAAAACTCAAGAAAGTAGTTTGATCGAAAGTAATTACTAAACAAGATTTCAATTTTTAAAAAAGATGAAACAAAAACTAAAAACTAAAAAAACGAAATAACTGTCAAATGGCACTTAAGAAAGTAGTTTTCAATTTTCATTATTTTTGAAAAGTGAGAATTGAAAATAGTTCCAAAATAAATTCAATTTTCAGTTTAAATAAATGAAAAAATAACCAAAAAATGAAAACAAAATGATTTTCAAACACCTCTTAACTTTTCACTTCAACGTGGGAAATAAACTTGAAATTTCAACTTATTTCAATAAACTTGGACAAAAGAAAGACCATGAATTTTGGAAGCTCGCTCGAGCTGCTTGTATAATTAAGAAGCAAGCCTCAAGCTCGAAAAAAACTAACAACCCAAGCTTGAGTATAGTGATGCTAGGTTTGGATCGGTTGTTTCCAGCCCTAGTTAGGGATCACGAAAAAGAGAGGTAGTGACTGTGGTAGCAAAATTCCGCCGTCTTTGATCAAGTACCAAAACCTCATGTGCTCACGAGGTGGGGGGTGGTTTGGCCAATAAATCTCTGATGCTTAAGTTAGCTTCTTTGAAAAGAATGAGTGTTTAGGATTTTTATGCGTAGCAAAAATGTACCAAAGTTTGGTGGAGATTAAGTATTTATGAGGAAGTGGCCGACCTAGGTGTAGAGTTTTATATCCTACACATGGCGACTTCCCATTGGCCAAGGTTATATCATCTGTAGGATGAATGCGGAAATAATATTACCACGATATTAATTAGGAGATAATATCTTGAGATAATGATAGAAGCATCATTGATTGATTGTGATAGGGATTCCTTACTTGATTGAGTTGATCTTCAATTGGGAATGCATTAAAGGTAGGATTTGGTGATTAATTATATATTTAATACCAGTTACTTTTTCATGGCACGTGAAGAAGAGCTGCCTGTAAAAATATTTGTGTACCTTGCCCACTTAATGAGGCAATCTCGTCTTCTTCGGAAAAAAAAAAAAAAAAGTCCATGTGTCGTCTTTAGGATTTTTAGGATTATTTTTTACTCCACAGGGGTAGTTTGGTAAAACGATAGGCTAAAAAGATATAAATATCTATTTTTTCAGTTCTTAATTATATTTAATTCATTCAATATGGCCAATCTTTTTTTTTTTTTTGGTCAAACGATAGATTTTGTTAGGTTAGGTGTTAAATTAGCCACTGACGAGGTTCGAACCCACGTAAATTAGCCACTGACGAGGTTCGAACCCACGCCGTCATGCAATGACTCAACTCTTTTCCACTAATGTTAGGGAGATCAACTTTGTAGACCATATTTATAAAACAAATGGTGGCTGCAGATGCAGCTATGCCACATCCTTAATTAAAGGCTTTTTAGCCAAAATGCTCACTGAGATTTGCATAATTTATCACTTTGGTCCTTGAAATTTGAAATCGATAGAATTGGTCCCTGAGTTTGTCCACAATTAAATCATTTTGGCCATTCCATGAAAAATCTCCATAAAATAAGGATAAAATGACAAAAATACCCTCAATTTTTGTCAAATCATTTTGGCCTATTGTTTATTATATTGAGGGTACTTTTATCACTTTGATCCTTATTTAACATAATTTTTCACCGAATGACCAAAATGATTGATGATGGACACTCTCAGGGACCAACTATTGATGATAGGCACTCTTAGAGACCACTACTATTGATTTCAAATCTCAGGGACGAAAGTGAAGAGTTAGGCAAATCTAAGGGACCATTTTGACTAAAAAGCCTTAATTAAATTGAAGTTTGAAAAAGTCTTAGTTATTATTAATCAGTTTTTAGGAATAAATTATTATTTTGAATGCATAATTGATTATGTGAAATCCAAAAACATTTGGAAAATCTCTAAAAGAAATGTCCAAATGTCCAAATCAACATTAACAGTAAAAAAAAAAAAAAAAGGGAACAACAATATTTCCAACTGAAAAACCAAATTTGATGTGGCATGGCAGAGATTGACAACCTCACCCTTGTTGTCAAAATTGACAACAACTTCAAATATTTTTTAATTAATTATTAAATGTGTTGTTTTTTCTTTTAAAACATTTATTATAATAGTTTAATATAATAAAATATTAATTTAAATTGACATATTGGGTGAAGATCAAAACTTTAAAAGATGTCAAAGTGTCACATAAGCTATCAAATTTAAATTGTTTGTTTAAAATTTGACATTTCCTTTGGAAAATAGATATCTCAGAGTGCCAGAAACTTGGACCCATACACTAAGTGTCATAATATAAATGGCTGAAAATTGTTTTTTAGGTAAATTACAATTTGCACCCTCAAGTTTGGATACAATTACAACTTCATACAACATTATTAAAACATTTTAATCTCCTAAAATTAATAATATTTCACTTCACTTTCGTATAACTATTAATTAATCCGTTAAATTAACTTTAAGTGATTACGTGACAAAAAAAACAATTAAACATTAAAAAGTCAATTTAAAAACTAAACTGAATTAAAACAAAGTGAGCCCTACCCACCTTCTCTCCAGAGTATGTAGCTTTAAATTTCTGGCTTTACTGGACGAAGCCCATTTCCATATCCATCTTTCGGTAAGGAGTTTTCAGGAAATACCATGAATCCCACCTGCCCTTGTTTGCAACGCGAGCATGTGTGGTGACTTTGACTCGAATGTGGCAGCTTAGGATGTAACTGATGGAGCAGTTTATGATATTTTAAAAGATATTGTATAAGGTTGCAAATGACTTTGAACGTGACTTGAATGAATTTATGAAATAATAAAAAATGTATAAGATAGAAATGTTTTACAAAATGTTGTATGAAGTTGCAAGCGACTCCAAACATGAAAGGTAAAATGTAATTGAGTATTCAACCACTTGTGTCATACCTGGTCGTGTTTCCGACACACTAAAATATACTAAAAATATGAGTACACCCTTAGAATTTAATTTTCTTTAACTAAAACCCATCATGGTAAGTTTCTCTAACAAAAACCCAATGACTAGCTAGGCTCCAACTAAGCAATATCTATAATTAAATTTGACTTGGCAAAATTTGTATTTGTTGATGTCTATATTACCCTTAATAACACTTACTTTGGGTCTCTCACTTATTATCTACATTTTATTTTACATTATTTCATTCAATTAAATGTCTTCAAATACCTTATGGAGATTTGGAAAAAAAATTTAAATGTCATGATTCATATGCATTTAATAACAAAAATTTACATGATACCAATGTTCCTTATATATTTGTTTTCACATGATGCTAACAAGTAAATTAGTATATCCTACAAATATCAAAAAGTTATTTTATTCAAAATTATCAATATTTTAAATATAAAATAGGTAAATTATTTTGCACAACATATATATAATAACAATATAAGTTCCTAGTAAATTATGTAATGATACATGCAAAATAATTTACCTACAAAATAAATAAATATTTTTTATTCAAAATTAATTAAATACCAATATTTTGCATATATATATATATATATATATATAACAATTTACCTACATGCAAAATAATTTACCTACAAAATAAAAGAATGTAAATTGATTGCACACTCTATTTAATAATAACAAAATGTGGCTAGTATATATGTATTATCACATGAAAAATAATTTACCTACAAAATAAATAAATGTTTTTAGCCAATTGATTCAAAATTAATTAATTACATATTATTTTACATAAAAATATAGATAAATTATTTGCACGCATATATATAATTTTAACAAAGTACCTAATACATACATGCAAAATAATTTACCTACAATGATTGTCAAACAAATAAAGGAAATGAAACATATGATGGTAAGGTAGATAATTTTATAATAATAAGACACTTATTTCCCACAATTATGGTGGATAATTAAATTCATTAACATAATTAGAGTGTTGTGGCACAATTGTAAATAGTTTGAAAATAATAGGTATTTAATTGTTTACATGGCAGTCTACTTCAAATTTGGGTTTTATTTGGATGTTTAAAATGAGATGGGTTTTTGTCAAGGAAATAAGTGTTGCATGGATTTATATCTGAGGGACCCTAAAATATATTGGCTTTGAAGATACTCTTGGTTAGTTCCTATGTCTCTTTCGCTGGTTGTTCATGGCCCTACTCCCTCTCCCAAAATTCCCCGGAGACAAGTTCCCGACGCCATTAACATTATGCCCACCTTTTTGTTCTTACATTCCGTTTGATTTTTAATTTAATTTCTTACCGTACCAACTTATTGTTGTTAATGCATCAGAACGATCATGATCGTATTCATCTTTTGGTGCTTCTTCCTCCACTTCTCGTAACTATGCCTCTTGCCTTGTCCTGGAAATCACGAACCTCACGCTTCGTGCTTTTCATGAGCCGCTCCAAGGCAGTTGATGTGCGCATCCAGGCTGCCCTAGGCCTGCCGGAGCGGGCACGGACAAGGGATCGGTGGACTGGGGACGATGACGAAAGGGTAGGTCTGGTCAAAAATTTTCTCACTGGCGAATTGAGGTGGAGGGTGGAGTGGAGGGATGAGGGTGAACGGAGGACGGAGGTCTCTGACTCTCCGAACTGTCTACAAAGTTGGCCTCCTTACCCCAGCATTACCCTTTCTATATATACTACTACTTTTCCCTTAAAGTTCACGGCTAACTGGATGAAAGGTTGAAAAATGTTTAGGTCCTTAACTGCTTGCACTTCCAAAACTGGTGTTTGATCCTAAATTCCCCAGTAGCAGCATAGTTTTCTCCAACAAGTAAATTTGCCAAGATCCAAGGGAAATAGCAGTAGAATGAGATCCGAGTAATTAAACCTAAAAGAAACACAATTCTGAATAATTCTACAGCAATTTTGTTACTCTCCTTTCACATGTTGTATGGAACAATAATACGTACAAGTCTTTACATAAACACTGTATGTCTGCAACTCTCTCGAGTCTTGATTGCTGACTCTCCACGGTGTTGTCTCTACCACCTCGGGAGTTGTAACTGCAGATTGAGATTCTTGACTCTCGAGTCTATTTTCTACTAGAGCCACTATTGCTCCATCGATGATCCGTCGTGTTGTTGACTATATATGATTTCAGTGATATCTTAGTAAATATTTAGTAGACCCTTGCGCATCTACTGTGCTTGCGTACGAAAATTAACATATATATTACATCTGTAACTGATATTTTTTTTACTTCATGCACTTCGGTTGAAAAACTAAATATCACACAGCAGTGTCTTCTTGATTGTATGGTCAATTTAACTGATATTTTTTACTTCTCCTGCAATTTCAGCTGTCACCGCAGTTTAACATACCAAAGTCACACCTCCAATGTTTCGGTGAAGAAGTGTACTGCACTGGTTATGATTTGTTAGGAAGGTGCAACAAAGCAGAAACCCCTCATGACAGGTTCACAGCTGTTGTATCGTGGAGCATTTCTACTTTGCGTCCAGTGATCTTCGGGATTGCTCCGTACAACCCCATTCTTGGAGAAACCAATCATGTTACAAGAGGGAATCTCAATGTTCTACTTGAGCAGGTAACTCTATTTGTTATTTCTGCTAAACCTTGCTCAAATTGATGCTGCCTTGATGGCCAAGCTTGAACTCGATGTCACTAACTACCTGGCGAGTGGCAAGTTTGTGTATCTTTTTGTAGAGATGGACTAAGATGATTTCTTTCTTGGTTGCATTCTTTCAGGTTTCACATCATCCACCAGTTACTGCTCTTCATGCAACCGATGAAAAAGAAAACCTTGAAATGATATCGTGTCAAAATCCTACTCCCAAATTCTATGGTATGCTCTTCTTCGTAAGATCATAACAATGATCATTATAAGAGAAGCAATCCTAATCCTAGGTTTTCCGGTTATTATAGACCTCGCATGTTTAATAAACTAAGTGTCAAGTTCTTAGAAAAATGGAAAACAAAATATACTTGTTACAGACTGCTTAGGACATATCTTCCTTTTCCTTTCTGAAAGTGCTATTCAAGCTCCTTTGCGAATCATTCTTTGGTACATTTTAGTTTCATTCTCTAACTGTCAGATTATACCAAATATTAGTCCGAAAGGGTTCTTTTATCTTGTCCTTGACAAGCTATTTTTCATTTGTGATCTAGTTAACTCTTTATATGTTACTCATACAATACAAGGATGTGCATATGTTTTCAGTTCACTCTAGCAGTTTACTTTATACTTGTCGGGAGCTCAAAAACCATGTAATAATATTCATCTTGTCAAGAACTTTGAACTCACCAACAATAACAAAGACTTCAGTCTCATCTTAACTTTACCGGTGTTTATGCTAATTGACTTTGTAAGTATTTTCTTTAAATATTCTGTTGTGCTTAAATGTCATATTAATTTTTATCAAGAATCATCTTGCAGGTACTTCAGTGGAAACTGAGGTGCATGGAAAACGGCGGTTGAAACTCCTGAATCACGGAGAAACTTATGAAATGAACTCGCCAAAACTCTTAATCAGGTTCCTCCCATTGCCTTGGGCTGATTGGGTTGGTGAAAGTAGAATCCGGTGTCATGAGACGGGCCTTGAAGCTGAGTTATATTATGGAAGTAATTCATGGATTAGGGGAAATCCTAGAACAATTAAGGGAAAGATCTTTGACTCAACAACATTTGAACTTCTTTATGAGATACATGGTCGGTGGGATAGGTAATTTAAGGCTTCACTCTTCTTTCAAAGTGCCGCTATGTAATTTGAATACAGATAGAAAACAGTGGTTTTATTGCATGCATTTAAAGAAATTAAAAAAATAACCCAACACTGATTACTTTGAAGTTACACCTTGATGCTACAGATACATTTTACGCAACAATCT